TTCCAGACCTAAGGAACAGATTTCCACAGATATGTTGTCTAAATTGATGTGAATATGCAGATTGGTGCCTATGCTATAACTTAGATGAAAAATAAGGTAAAAGAATTCCATTTGTACATGTAGAACTACAATCCAGGGATGCCAGTGGAAGTAGTGAGTACTAAAGAGAACAGGAATGTAAAGAAATGAGACAGTCAACCCAATAGACATTATATACGTGGTTACTGAATGAACAAGTACAGGATGTGCCACATAATGATGTTTCAGTCAGACAGACAACATGTAGGACAGTAGTTCCATAATATCATAAAGCAGCTGCGAAATTCCTGTTGCCTAGTGACACTGTAGCCATCCTAAAATCGTAGTGCAATGCATCAGTCATGTGTTTGTGGTGATTCTTGGTGTAAACAAACCTACTGCAAAATATGTTGAGGAGTGCCTAGCTTATTTACAGGGTGACCCTTCCAAAGGTAGCTCAGACCTTTAAAATAGAAAGCCAAGCATTTGACACATCAGGTCTGACTCCAAGTGAAAGGGTTGTTGTATACTTTAAAATTCTTGCATTTTTAAATTATTCCCACCAGCTCTCATAGGAAAATAATAGTTAATAACAGTTAGCTAACACTCTGTGAGTGCTTGCTGAGTGCCAGGCACAATCTCTACCACTAATTTTCATAACTTTGTGGGGGTGGTATTCTTCTAATCATCATTTAATAAATGACGAGAGAGAGAGACACTGAGATACTTACTAGTAACATAATTAGAGGGCCCATGCTTATGCAACTAGTGGCCAGTGTAGATAACAGGAAAATTCATTGCTATTCCCTTTCATAATACACTTTAGCACAATGATGAAATCGCCTACGGATGCATTTCTCAGAATGTATTCTCACTGTTAAGCACTGCATGACTGTACTTGTATATGTTTATAGTAACTCTTGGGCAGTGGTTATGATATAGTTGAGTGAGCAGGACAGTGAGAAACAAGCTATGAAAAGGAAGCCTGTTTGGGGAACTGTTCTTTAGAAAGTCATTACATAAGATGTATTTAAAACCACATTTAGATGTGTTTGTGGGCCACGTTTCAGCCCATCAAGAGCAGATTTTAGGAAAGAAACATAATGACAAAACTCATGTGTTGGATTCTCTGACATATACTAACTTGAGCTGTTAGAAGCACAGCATTCTAAATCACTCAAGTAAGTAGATCCTCCATGACAGGAGAAAAGAAAACAAGTCCCTTTGATTAATGTGTTATATAACAGTCTCCCACATGTCAATCACAGCATGAACCAAGACACAGCCATTCACCCTACCTTGGGGGAATACAGGTAGCACAATAAGGAAAGTTGACTGTATAGGCCTGCTGTCAAGATAGGGCCTGTGCATGCATACTGGTGGGAGTGAATAGGGTGTAACTGACCCAATCCCCCCCTTTTATTTTGACCCAGTCTCTTAAGGGTATCATAATCAAAGGCATGCAGACTGTTACTACAAATACTTTGATGCCCCCATGTCATTTTACATAATGGACCACATTTTTAAAATAAGGCTGATCTGGACTAAGCATAAACTGATATTTAATGTATACCTTACTATAACAATCACCTTCATGAGCTATGTGGAATGCTGGAATGGATTATTAAAGACTGAGAGGTAGCGATGGACCTTAAAGCTTGCAACTGTGGTATTGTAGCTGAACATAAGGATTATAGGAACAGGCTTACATTGGGAAAAGCTGACTAAAAAAGAACACACAGGAAATTTCATACCAGTTTGTCCTGACATAGTCCTTGCCCACTGTGCAAATCAGCATGGATTGGGATGTTCCTGTTTCTTGTGCTGAAGACATAAGCCCAGGAGAACAAAAGCAGATTGTTCCCAACTACTGTATATGTATGCCACCAAAGGTAGGCTCACAACTATTTTCTAGATCAGGTTAAGTTTGAAAGGGATTTGGGCAATAGAAAAATCTATTGGCTCTGACTATGAAGAGGACTTATTTCTACTTCTGACAAATTTGGTTGCTACAACTTTCTCTTGGAGAAGAAGTGATAAGTTAGCACAGTTACTAACTATATCATATTCATGCCCTACTCATGCAATGTCTGAAAAAAAGGAAAGGGGGAAATAAAAACACTGTATTAAAACAATTTTTAATTGTTTATAATTTTTTGATTGTTTATAGTAAAACAATCAATTTTACTATGATTCAAACAGCATAGTAAAAGTAAAATTTGACTAAAGCCAGGTCAAATTTTGGCCAATGGGCTAGGAGATAATTACTAGACACTCTTGGGGAAGATGGAATACATTACAATAGATATTGTTTCATACTCAAGCCTTGCTCATGCTATGTCTGAAATTCAGGAAAGAAAAGGGGGAATAGATGAGGGAGTTGCCCACTGATGGAGTTTGGATGTGTTGTCCCCTCCAAAACTCATGTGGAAATTTGATCCCCAATGTGGCAGTGTTGGAAACCGATTGGGTCATGGGGGTGAATCCCTCATGAACGGATTAGTGCTCTCCCTGGGGGAGGTGGGTTAATAAGTGAGTTCTTGTTATATTAGTTCCCAAGAGAGCTGGTTGTTTAATAGACCCTGGCACCTCCCCTCTCCCTCTCTCTCTCTCTTTTGCTTCCTCTTACCATGTGATCTGCTTGTACCCGCCAGCTGTCTGCCGCTTTCCACCATTAGTAGAAGCAGCTTGAGGCCCATGCCAGATGCAACTGTCCCAGAATTGTAAGCCAAATAAACCTCTCTTTTCTTTATAAATTACTCAGTTTCAGGTATTTCTGTTATAGCAACACAAAATGGACTAATACACCCACAGTTGGCCCTTTTAATCTAAAGAGAAAAACAAAACTAGCAGAGGGAGGAGAAATCAGAGCAGTTACTATCTAAAATTACATTGAATAGAAAATAAAAAGGTATTTATCAAAAAACCCTTGGTCTAATTTCTGACTTCAGGTGTTCTGACTCTTTCACTCACTCTCTTATAGCTAATTGATTCCTTATATTTAGGGATCTGGTAAGAAGAAAATCTCCCGGTACATTACATCAATGGGCTGCTTAAGAAGAAACATAATCATATTAAGAGGTATACAAAGACATTTGGTAAAACTCCAAAAAATATTTTCTGATAAAAACTGTTAAAATTAGACATAAAACTATACTTCCTTAATATTTTACTACACTGCTATGGATTGATTGAATCGTGTCCCTCAAAGTTCATACGTTAGAAGCTGAATTCCCACTATAACTGTTGAGGGTAGGAAATCCTATTAGGTAATTGAAAGGCAGAATTTTGAAGAGGTGATTAGACTGTAGGACCACACCACAGTGAATGGATTAAAAATGATGGTTATGGGCGTGGTTCTGAGGGCTTTAAAAGGAGAGTGCTCTCTGTTCTCTCTGCTCTGCCATTTTCTGCCATGTCACTTTCATGTGACTTTCATGTCATTTTCTGCCTGGTCACTGTTGCCACCACCAAGGCCTTCACCAAATGTGTTCCCTGGATTTTGGAGTTCCCAGCCTCTGAAACTGCAGGCAATAAATTTTATTTTCTTTATAATATATCCAGTTCCATGTATTTGTAAGCAACATAAATGAACTAATACATACACATAAGGCTTTAACAAAGCATTTCCATTAAAAACAGGAACAAAATATTATCCCTACTATTATTTTAACATTGTCCTAGAAGTTCTGCCCAATGCCATAAGAAACAAAATGGTAATGAAAGGTACAACTTATAGAAAGCAGAAAGCAGAGGAAACCGCATAAGAATAAAAATTTTGACACTGGGCAGATCCTGTTTCAAATCCCTGTTCTGCTCTTACTGGAAATGTGACTTCACATAATTATTTTATCTCTTTCTATATCTGTAAAGTTGTAAAGATTACACAAAGCAATAGATATACAGTGGTTATAATGTACCTGGCATATAATAAACAATAAACTGTATGAATTATTGTTATTACAAAGTACCCTTGCCAATGATATAGTCACATGCTGAAGACCCAGCAAATAACTGAAAATTGGTGGAAGAGGAAAACTCATTGGGTAAAAGATAAGCAAAACCCCCGAATTTCTACAAATATTAGCAATAATCTATTAAAAAAAAAAAACATTTAAAAACAGAAATTCCAATCTGTTCAATCCCTGTACTGTCCAGTTGCCAAAACAAATCAAAACAAAAAACCAGAAATAAATTTATAAGGTATGTAGAAATAAAACCTTTACAAGAACTATAACAGATACGTGTAAAAAATGATCAAAATTGTGTAAGATATAAAGGAAACAATGAGTAAATGTAGAAATTTAACATGTTCCTGGATAAAAACTATTACACACATGTCAGTTCTTCCTAAGTTAATTTGGAGGTTTGAGATAACACCAATCAAAATTCCAACAAGATTTAAAAAAAGAAAAGAAAAGAAACAAAAATCATCCTAAAACTTATCTGGTAAAGAAAAAGAGCGAATAACAAAAGAAAATAAATGTAAAAAGGAGAGTAAAGGGGAAATGAGGAAAGAATTCTGTTAGAAATAAAAACATATTCAAAATCCATAATTACTAATACAATGAGGAACTAGCAGAACAGACAGAATAATAGAGCAGAGTAGAAAGCCCGGAGAAAAATAGAACTTGACACGTATACTAGGTTCATTCTCTAGCATATATAAAAATTATTATAAATTAGTGGCAGAAGGAAGATGTAGCCATTAAAAAATGCTGGGACTTCGATTACCTACTTGGTAATGAGTAAATTAAAAATAAATAAAAAAATAAAATTAGGTTCTCACTTCAAATCAAACAGCCAAAGAAAGATACAGAGAAAGAAAGAAAGAGACAGAGAGTGAGACAGAGAAATGGCAAGAGAGATAATGAGAATAAAAAAATAAAAAGAATTACAAAATTAGAATGCTGACACACTACTCAGTAACAGATATGAGAACATTAATATGACTAGGATTAAGAATGTAAGCTAAATCTTACATGTTCTTCCCACACTTTCTTTTCCCTTTCATATGCTTCCTTTCTCTTTCGCTCCAGTTGTTCTTTCAGTACAGCAGCACGTGCATTTGTTGGGGCCTGAAAACAAAAACAATCAACAAAATTAGTTACCAAAAAGAAGGCATAGGATTTTTTGTCCAGCTCTATATTTACTTATTAGTCAAAAAAGAAGTGTGTATGTGGCTCCAGAATAAAAATGTAAGCTCATTGTATAGCCCTAGTACCTAGAATCAGGCTTGACATATAGCAGGCAGTCAATAAAAATTTGTTGAATGAAAATAAATTTGAGTACATTTAAATAGAAATAAAAATGCAAAAATTTACAACAATTATAATACATTAATTTTACTTATTTTCACAGAAATGGATAGCTACATATTTTTCATTTTTAAGGTTACCATCTTTTTCCTTTGATGCCTACTTGTGTGACAGTTTAATAGTACATTAAACTATGCCATGATTTCATCTAATTGCTCTTTATAAATATGATAACAGAGAGAAAAACACTATTTTTTAGAAACCAAAATGTGAGGGAGAAGGGGGAAGAAAAATTAAAGAGAATAAAGTGATTTAACTATGCAAAACTTAAGAACACAATTTTCTATGTTAGCTTTCAATTTTCTCTAAGAAAACCTATAGCATTTCTAGTCTATACCTTAAGTGATTCAATTTTTTTACGCCTCATGTCAGCCTCTTCACTTCCTTCTTGTCCCTCAGAACTATCAGCTTCTTTCTACAAAATAAGTAGATAAGCAAATCACTTAGAACAAATGCAGTGCAGAGCTCGGTGAAAGATAATATGAAGAAACTAACATCTAAAAATGTACAATGGGAAACTGTTCAACACTGTTAATTTTCTTCCAAAGCTGCAACTACACACTCTACTACTACCAAAGCTTATGAACAATGGAACAAAAAGATAGAAAGAGATTGCTATAAGATGTATTTTAATACTTCCATGGTACTATTTACATTTTCCTCTAAGAATTCCTCCAGAACAAATGGTCTTATCAATTTGAAATCATATAAATAAGATTTACTTTATCACTATGTATAGTTTTCTTGTCTTTGACTTTCACTGCTTGTCAATTTTTATTTTTTTGTTAGTGGCATAGCATTTTTAATCTTATTCTATTATAATATCAATCAATTACTTTAAAAAAAATTGATGTTCAACCTACCTTTTCACCACGAAGTTTGGCTTTTATCTGTTGGCGCTCATTGAAATTCTGTAGTCTTATTTGTCTCAGTCTTGCCAGATAAACCTACAAAGAGGAAAAAATCCCCAACATATTAATTTAAAAGAAAAACCGTCAACATTTTTACTGCTAAAATTTTTTTAATTTAAGGAAAAGTATTAATCTGAATATTAGAAATAAAATTTCTGAAATCTGGTTAATGGAAATGTAATATTAGCTTTCAAGTGTTTAATTTAGATCAACTTATTTCTGAAAATAAATATATTAAATACAAATTTTTAATTTTATCAAAAGTAAAGAAATTGAACTCAGAAAACTGAATAACAATTATGGGACAAAATTATGACACGTGTCAGTCAGAATATATTAACAGGTCCCTATAGAAATCTTCAAATAATTGTTAAGAATTTAAACCATGCAAGGAAAAAAGGCAATAAACTCAAAAATGGCTATGTGACGGAGGTAGCGAACATGCAGGAAGCATACCTCTTCCTCTTTGTTTCTTGACTTCCCTCCTCTTGAAGAGCTGGACCTGCCTCCATACATAGCTGCCAGGTTTTGCAGGATTCCCTGTTTATCATTTAATGTACTAAGTTTGAAGAATGACTAAGGCTACATCATCATTTTACCTAGGAATATCCAGGTGCCACTTTACTTCTTTTGGCAAATACTGACCATTTCTAGCTAATAAACTCTGGTAACAAACCCTGGCATTTTTCTATATCAATTTAACAAATACACGCAGTGAGAACAGAAGGATGCAATTAAACCCCAAACATAATTATTTAAAACAGACACCAGCTATGTTTTTATTAGCCATTTAAGTAAAGAGGTTTTTACCACTGCTTTAGAGGTTAGATAATCCTCAAATCCAATTTTTCCTCTACAAAGGGCCAAATCCATTTCTACATAAGTCTTCCACACCACACATACACACGCATGAAAATATTTGAGCTCACTGCTTCTTTTTTTTTTTTTTCTTTTTGTCTTTTTTACTGACCGGCAGCGGGATCGCAACCCTCGGTGTTGCGCCCGCACCGCGCTCAGCCAGTGAGTGGGAACCAGTCTCCACATGGGATCCGAACCCTTGGCGGGAGCGCCACCACACTCCCAAGCGGCGCACTTCTCCAGTTCGCCACCGGGCCGGCCCGAGATCACTGCTTCTGAATTCCACAGATGTACTGTATATTAATTATAAGATCTAATCAAACTCTTTCAGTCTCCACATGGGATCCGAACCCTCGGCGGGAGCGCCACCACACTCCCAAGTGGCGCACTTCTCCAGTTCGCCACCGGGCCGGCCCGAGCTCACTGCTTCTGAATTCCACAGATGTATTGTATATTAATTATAAGATCTAATCAAACTCTTTGTACTTGGTCATTCCATTACTATACTACAAATGATCATAACCAATCACAAACTGACTCATTTTTAACAGAGTTTATCACTAACATGGAATTATCTTATTAAAAATTATTAACATCCTTCAGTAAAAGTATCAGATTACAAAATTATTGACTTTCTCTTCCTTCAGCATACAAGCATGCTTCAAGTTTCTCTCAGCTTAAAAAAATCCTTGGTCCCACTTCCCTGTTTAATGCCTTTTTATCAGCTTGTTGAAAGTGTATTTTTATATTTGTCATCCTCATTTTCCTGCTTTCCATTCATTTTTTAACCCACTGCAAACTAGTTTCTTCTTTTTTGGGGGAGGGGAGGGAGACTGCGGGCTGGTATGGGGATCCAAATCCTTGACCTCAGTGTTACCAATACTGCACTCTAACCAACTGAGCTAACCGGCTAGCCCCTGCAAGCTAGTTTCTGATCCAACTACGACTCTGAAAATTTTTTAACATGAACAATGACCTCCTAGTTCACAATTCAGATGGACCCTTTTGAGTAATTTTTGCACTAATTTCCATTAGAATTTAATTTTGACTGAATCCACATAATTTATATACTCATATGTATTTTTTCTCATAACAAATAATATACATTCACTGTAGTATATTTATAATATGAAGAAAATACAAATCATTTATAATTCTACCTTCTGAGAAACTTAAAAATTAAGGGTATTGGCTTCCAAATTTCCTTCTACTCATGATTGCATACATGCTTATTTTTACAAATCTGAAATATCCCTACAGTTATCCTGATTTTTTTCACTTAATATTATATCCCGAGTCTCTTCCCACATTCATTTAATATTCCTTAAAAACATTATTCTTAAGTGACTATATACTATTCACAACATTCTACTATGTAAATGTTCTATAATTCACACATTTTTTTAAAAGTCTTTCTTTTTTTTCAGTATTTATAAGGGCACTCTCTTCTGGATTTTTCCAATTGTAACTACTTTTCACAGGCTTTTCTGCTTCTTGGCTCTTCGTTAACTGTCCATATTTTTTAGAGTTTCATTCTCTGGCCCTCCTTCTCTTCTCATCCCCAGGCTTACCTTATGTTGCCAATTCCTAAATCTAAACTAATGTCAAAGCTCTTTTCCCTTGAACTATAGACTCCTGTGTATATTAAACTGATATCTGGACAACTCTACTCTTACGCAGCAAAGCTACCTCAGTTTATAAACATGACTTTATCATTTTTTACTACATGATCTTATTCCTAACTCAGTTATTGATGACACTTAGCCACCCAAATCAGCAAGCTGGGAGTTGCCTTGGCATCACTCTTACTGGCCATATACAAATGACTGCCAAATGACCAATTCTATGTCTTGATAACTATGATTTATCACTTTAGTTTCTGCCTTGGCTCAGGCTCTCTTCTTTTAACTCCTGGATTTCCAAAAGAGCTTCATAAGTTATCATTTTACTCTAGTCTGACATCCTCCCAGTCTATTTTCCACAATGCACTCAGAGAAACTTTCTAAAATTCCCTTTCATATCAAACTCCACATCAATCCTTCAATGGTTCCCATTATCTTCAGACTTCAATCCAAATTCTGTTGAATGGCAAGAAAAAGCTGTTTGTGATCTAGCCATTTCCAGTCCCATCTCTGCCACTGCTCAATCAGAAATCCTACATTCTAGAAATGACAATTGCTTGTGGTTTCTGGACTATCCCATGATCTCACTCATCTTCTTAAAATGGCTCTCTACTCATCTTCCAAAATCCAAATCAAACATTTCAGTCCTGGAAAGCCTTGCCAAAGCCTTCTCTAGGGAGTTGTGTGCCTCCTCTGATCTACCACACCATTCTTTATATATCCCTCTCGCAGTAGCTAGCACTCCTCATAGTGTATTATAATGGTGGAAGGGCAGTATACTATGACAGTTAAGAACATGGACTACTGACTCTGAAGTCTGTCAATTCGTGTTTTTATCAATGCCATAAAAACTCTGCGGACCTTAAGTAGAATTACATAAACTTCTTTTAAGTCTAGGCACAGTACCACTTCATGGGTGTGCCAGAACAAAAAAGTAATACTGTATGAACATGCCCTGCCTTTCTCCTCTTCCAGCCTGACAAAAGGCTTTAACTCACTCAGTTTGCTCCCATCCTTGAGGAGGTCCTGGCATTAGCTTATTAATTATTTTAGCTTTGGGGGTATAGGTCAGACAGTTGCAAAGGTGCAAGAAAATAAGAAATAGGCAGTGCCAGGCAAAGATGTAAGGTAAATTCTGAAAAGATGTATGGGAATATCTTAGTTATAGGCGAGTAGGTCGTAGTGAACTGAGTGAGTACTGCTATAGGCTATATCTTCCTTTCATGGTGTTTGAAAAATACAAGAACTTGATTTTAAATTTTTCTTAAAAACTTTTTAGCTTGAAATATTATATACTCACAGAAATGAAATGTACAGGGAGGTCCCGTGCACCCTTCACCTGGCCTCTCCCAGTTTTATCATCTTGCATAACTACAGTACACTACCCAAACCAGGAAGCTGACACTTATATAATCCACAGAGATCTCACCAGTTATACATGAACACATCTGTGTCTGTCCATGTGTATCTATATAATTTTATCACACCTGTAGCCTTATGTAACCACACCGTAATTGACACAACTGTATTATTACCATAACACTTTATAGCCACGTTCACCATCCCCAACCCTAAATCCTGACAACCATTAATTTGTCCTCCATCTCTATAATTATATTTTGTGAATTAAGTCCATTTTTAGCATTAAAAGGAACTGTCAAACTATTTTACACAGTGGCTGTATAATTTTAAATTCCCATCGACAATGTATAGGTGATCCAGTTTCTCCACAACCTTACCAGCATTTGGTTTTACTACTATTTTTTATTTTAGTCATTCTGATAGGTGTGTAGTAATACCTCATTGTAATTTAAATTTGCATTTCTCAAATGGCTCATGATTTGAACATCTTTTCATATTTGCCATCTGCACATAGTCGTAGATGAAATGTTTAGAATCGTCTTTGCACATTTTGTAACTGGATTCTTTACGTTTTTAATGTTGAGTTTTGATGCTTCTTTATATGTTCTAGATATAAGCCCTTTGTTGAACATGTGGTTTACAAATATTTCTCCCAATCTGTAATTTGTATTTTCTTCCTCCTAACAGGATCTTTCACAGAGCTGAAGTTTTTAGTTTTGATAAAGTCTGGTTAATCAAGTTTTCCTTTTCTGGACCATGATTTTGATGGCAAGTCTAAGAACTCTTTGCCTGGTCCTAGGTCCAGAAATTTTTTGTCTTTTGCTAGAAGTTCTACAGTTTTATGTTTTATATGAAATTCCATGATTTGTTTTGAGTTAGTTAGTTTGTAAAGTGTGAGGTTTAGGTCAAGGTTAATTTTATTTTTGGCCAACAGATGTCCAATTCCTCCAGCAATAATATTGAAAAGGCTATTCTTCCTCCATTGAATTGCTTTTACTTATTTGTCAAGAACCAACTAGGTACATTTGTGTGAAGCTATTTTGCAGTTCTCCATGTTGTTCTAGTGATCTTTGTGTCTATACCTTCACCAGTACTATACTGTTTTGATTACTGTAGCTCTAAGTCAGCCTTAAAATCAAGAAGAGTCATTCCTCCCACTTTCTTCTTCTCCTTCAAAATTGTTTTGACTATTTTAAGACCTTTCTCTTTCCATATGTTTTAGAATAAGCTTGTTCATATCCATAAAAAAACCCTTTTCTGAGATTTTCATAGGAATTACATTAAACCTACATATCAATTTAAGAAGAATTGCCATTTTTATTATGTTGAGTCTTCTGATTCATGAACACTGAATATCCAAGTATTTAGCTCTTCTTGAATTTCTTTCATCAACATTTTCTCATCTTTATTGCACAAATCTTGCATATGTTTTGTTAGATTTTTTTTCCACTTTCTTTGGAGCAATTGTAAATTGTATTACATTTTTATATCATTTCTCACTTGCTCATTGTCAATATATATAAATTCAATTGATTTTTTTTTTTTTTTTTTGTCTTTTGTCTTTTTCCGTGTCCGGCAACGGATCGCAACCCTCAGTGTTGCCCCCGTACCGGACCGGGGACCGGCAACGGGATCGCAACCCTCA